AATTAATGTAGAATGATTAAAACGTCAAGTATATTTTATAAATATTTTCAGCCTGAAAACCAGCCAAAAAGAGCATGTGAGTTTATAGTCACATACATGAGGTGTGCTTTCATTTGTACATCAAAGGAAAAGGGGAATCAGATCTTCTTCATCATACCTGTATTGATGGACTATGGTGTGCTTGTGTTGGGTCTCCATCAGGGCTTTTCCAGGTGCAGGTAGATTGGAGAGGGTTGGCGGTCGCCATACATAACAATTAGCGTGACCGTCTGTAAGCTAGATTTTGATTAGATATGCCAATCCTGGGGTTCCGCTTCAGTAAAATTTGAAAAAAGGTACTCAGAATGGAGACACGTTCAATCGTCCATGCAAAATGGGCAGCTGCTCAGGCACCCCCAGTCCCCCAACCCCCCCCTCCACCACCCCTGCATGTCCCTGGGCCCAGTCCCAGCAACCAAGCTGCTGGCACAGATGGCATTTCTTGTTTCAGGTTAGCCTGGAGTGTCCTGCTGAACATGCCCCAAATTGTTGATTACTGAACCAAGGGAAGCAGCTGATTTTGTCCCCAAAGGAAACCATAGAAACAGATGAAAGTCAGCCCTCTGCACAACTCTGTACACCAGCATGCCAAAGGTCTGGGAGGAGCTTCGTAATCCAAAAGGCATGACCGAATATTTCCCTAAGCAGGGAAGACAGCCGTTTCCCACACCTCAGTAAGCCACCGGGCGCTTCCAGCAAAAACAGCCAAAGCTGAAGTAACCTGAAACAAATGTAGCACAAAACAAGAAGCACAGTGATCTAACTCATCAGATGCACGGCCTGTCAGTCACACGGGACACATAATACTTCATTGTTGAGCTAAGGGTTCGTCTGCAAAGAAAACAATCACCAACACCCGCAGAAAGAGGGCAGCAGCTCGGACTGTCATTCTCCGGCGCATTCCTTCTCTGGCTTTGCAAACAGAGCGGCCCTCACGAGGTCCTGGGAAGGCAGCCACAGAGCAGGAGGACAAAGCCGGCCTCTCTTCTGCCCAACCTGTCCACCACTGCTGCCATATTTTCCAAGAAGGCCATCACACCTATTTTGAACCAGATAGACAAACTGATCGATTTACCTTGGAGCCAGGTCTTAACACTTAGCTCTTCCTGAATTCACGTTGTTCTAAGCTTCTTTCAAACAGTGTGTGTGGGATTATTTTCTGTTTTTGCTGCATTAGCAAACTATGTTGGTGTCGATAAAATGTGTGTTAATAAATTCAATCTGATTGATTACATGATTGCTGCCTCCTGCACTTTTTTCCTTCTCCGTTGTACCTTCTGCTGGGCTACAGGCATATACATGTTTTTTGTTGACAAAAAAGTTGAAAAGTTATTTATAAAAGGGTATTTATTTTGTTCGGCACCCAACAATTAGCATCACCATCATCAAAAAATTCTTGAACACATCCATATTTGTATCACTTTATAATAATGAACAACAGATTACAATGCAGACCAAAAACATTTCTAAATCAGATACCTCCACTAAATTTTTACAAAAAATGAAGAAATCAGTCATCTCGTTCCAATGTTTTTGGAAAAATAATAATTGTGCAAAATGGTATTCAAAATACTATGAGAAGACTAGCCTATACCAAAAATAAACCGCTAAAAAAAATGTACTACTAAAACTATTTTAAACTAGAGTCAAACTAGTGCATGGTTACTCAAAAACTGGCATTTTAAAAGATACCTAACAACTGCTTAACTGGTAACTCTGACTGGTTCAATTGCAAAAAAAAAAATGGTAAAACAGTAAGGGGATCTCAGCATGCTTGGAAATCAAGATTTGTTCCCACATGACAATAATAAAATAATTTTGCTACAGTACAATGGCATCTGTTGAGCCAGATGTTTGACAAACTTATACCTTTGTGTCTTCTGGAACTTCGGGGAGCTTGGGAACTGCTACACTCTCATGGTCAGAGGGCACTTGGAAATACGGCTTATCACTAAAGCAGCACTCGTCAGAAGGCGAGGCTAGGAAAGGAAGCTTCAAGACGAATCCTGTCGCGATGCCGCCCACTGCAGCCACCCCTATGGTGGAGAACATAGCAGCCACCTGGAAGAGGGCCTGCTCTGAGGCGGTGCGGCCCAAACCCGGCTGGAGGCCTGGTATGAGCTGCTGCAGTTCATGAAGCCTGGGGTCCCCTTCCATGGGTGCTCTATGGGCAAAGGTCTGATACAGGCTTGGCCCATAAGTGTCTTCGTTTGCCATCATGATGCCCCAAATTCCACCCAGGCAGGAGATGATTCCAGTCAGGCCGTGCAAGTTGTGGATGCCGCATTGGTCTTGGATCCTACAGTGCTGAGCTAGGAATGGAGTGAGGTATTTGTAGCCCAAGAAGCAGGCGATGCACCCAACCGCACCAAGAATGTATGCAGCCACCGGTGAGATCATCATGTCAACGGACGCCCCCACTGTCACTCCCCCCGCCAGGGTGACGTTCTGGATATCAGCCATGGTGAGCTTGCCCCGTTGGCTTAGCAGGGCGGAGAGTGCGAAAGCAGTGAGGGTGGAGGCACTAAGGCCAATGAACGTGTGGAGAATGGCCCGGTGCTGGTCATCTCCCTTGAAAGTCACAGCAGAGTTAAAGGACGGCCAGAAAACCCAGAGAAACAGGGTCCCCATCACTGAAAGAATGTCCGACTGGTAGCTGGTGGCGTCATTTGCGTGGCCGTTGTTGAGGCTTGGCCGATACAGAACAAATGTGACTCCCAGCCCAAAATAACAAGCAAAGATGTGAATAAGAATGGACCCACCTGCATCGTTGATTCTTAGGTAGTTAAGGACAGCCCACTCAGTGATGGAAAAAATTAGGACCTCCAGCAAAGCCATAACCAGGAGCTGCACAGGACTGGTCTTTCCCAGCACAGCACCATAGCTGATCAGCACCACTGCACAGGCAAACTCAGCACTGAGGAGGTTTACTACCCCTAGATGAATCTTGCCGCCAGAGTAGAACTGAAAGTAACCCTGCACAAGAATCGCCCACTGGATGGCAAAGGTGGCCGTGAGGAAGTTAAAAACCAAGCCACCGAAGCCGTAGCGATGCAAAAAGGCGAGAAGGCAGCCAAAGCCGATGAATATCATCACCTGAACGTCAACAAAGACAGGGTAATCCTTATAGAGGTCATTTTCCATTGGATTTGTCATGTTGTCCTGCAGCTTTGCGTTAGCATCAGTGTCATATGTAACAAAGCCAGCATAGAGAGCAATAAACACAATCTCGGAGACAAGCACGAGGGCAGGGAGGCGTATTTTCAAACTTGTGGATTTCTTCATCTTACTAAGAGCTATCACAAAGCAGTGAATGGCATTACTGCACACACTCTTCCCTTATATCGTCTCCTCCCAGATAAGACCTGCCTCAGGCATTGGCTAAAAACAAGGTCACCCACGGAGAGAGACTTCCAGAATCCTATGCAAAAAAAGCCAAAGTACAAACTCATATAATTGCCCACAATAAAGTTTTGATGAGCCAGCGCATTTAAAAGAAATTTGCACTTGTTGATGTTACGTATTGAGTCCCAGAAAAAAAAACAGACCTAAGTTTCAGAACTCCAGACCAAAAACTAGGGTATAAATGAACTGAAAACAGCAGTGCACTCTGATTGTATTAGGGATAATGTCTCAGAAGCTGACACACAGCCAGCAACCTCAGATCGTGTGCCTTACTTAGATGACTGCACAAAAAAAAAAACTTTGTTTAATTTACTCTGCAATATCCTGCTCTCTTGTGTACATGGGGGAAATTACATCTCGGATATTTTCACACTTCAGTAGTTCACAGTAGTTCATAGTTCATCGGCCATTTAGCAGGGTTACCTCACAATTATATGGACATCAAATCAAATCTTTGCAGCTTTGTGGTTGACGTTTGATCTGGTTATGTTCGATTTGATGTTTCCTCTGCATATACCGATTAATTTATTTCAAACAAACTCACCACAGGACAATGGAAAAAAAATCTCCAGATTACCATGGCCTTATATGGATTATCAGTTCCTAATGTTACTGAAGTTTGAATTAACAACACACAGCGCAATGATTACTAGTCCAGAAACATAAAATTTAAACAGCCAGATTAAAATATAGTTTTAAAAATGTTTCAAAGAACAGATTTATATATTTTTTTTAATTAAAGTGAAGCATCATTTTGAACACTTGCTTTGTGCTTTCTGGGATAAAAGATATGGAAGACTGACGGATGTTCTTTTAAATACTGATTGTTTGTTACTGTATATAGGGAAATATACCCGTACAGTCCTGAGCAAACAAGAGCCAATAATGTCAACAAAATGTAAATAAAACATCCAACTAATGGAAGTAAAAGCAATAAAAATATAAAATAGATTTTTTTTCCAAGATTCAGATGTGCTACACAGCCAGATTTCCCTCGTGTTGTAAATATTTCTTATTAGTGCGCAGGTACATCATACTACATGTCCCTCCTCAATTGCGGTTAACTAGATATAAACAAAAGAGACCAATTCAGTGATTAACTGACATAAAGAAAAAAGTTCGTAAACAATAATCGCTACACTTCTAAAAAAAACTCCACCCAAGGAATCAACAGGGATCTGCGCATTGTAGAGTTTTGCAAGCATACAACCACACATTTATGTCACCCATCCATTTTCTTTTAACCGGTTATTCAATGCAGGGTCGCGTGGAATCTCTCAGAAAGCACAGCCTCACGGGAGAGCCTGGATGGAGGCCAGGGCCATACATCACATCGTTGAGTTTCTCCTTCAGCTGATACTTACAGATTTCCGTTTCAGTTGACATTGTGAACTACTCTAGTTAACTTTCACTTCTGTCACCCACGCAAAGGAGTGCTTCCTTTCCCAGATGCCAGCCAGTTTCTGCTCACAGTTTCAGACCAACCCCGCTCTTTCCCGGTTCCTCCTGCCAGTCATTCCGGGGGATGACGTCAGACGCAGCGCCCGCCGCCTTCCCAGCATGCATCGCATCGCCGCTCTGCAACGTAGGCACTCGGCAAATACAGGCGGCTGGCTTACTGTGAACGTATACCGAGGGTAAAGTCACCATTATAATGATATTTAAAGTGGGTTGTCTAATACACGGTTTAGGTTAAGCTTATATCAACAGCCCAGTTTTTGTCGTCTTACGCTCGGCTAGGAGGCTAAAAAATTACCGGTTCGTTTCCAGTTTAGAAAGGTAAGGTTCGCCTCCTCGCCGGCTACATCACCATGGCTAACCGGCTCCTTCAGATAGACGAAGTCAAATGCTAGTTGGTTATTAGTAGCTCTTTAGAGTAATACAATGTAGCAGGTTTGGTAGATGGTTAGGTTGTTGAATGCCATGTTTTGTCGCTGACGTTGTTGGTGATATGCGTACTAGCTGGTCGGCTAACGCTGCTGGGTTTCACAGCACCTTTGAATGACACCTCAGTGTACTTCTATTTATTCCTGTTAACTTAATATATTAATGTATTACCATGACCAGACAGCCATAGAAAGGGTGCTGGCTGACTTGTCATGTATGTCGTTTATACGCTGGTGATGTGAGCTAGGTGTTCTGGGGGGTAAGGGAGAGAGAGGCACATCTATTTGCTGGTTTATTGAGGGATATTCATTGTTTAACTTGGGCTATCTGTGTTACTTTTGGATGACTATATTAAAAATAAATATATTATTAGATCACATAACTTCATGTACATATGTAAATTCATACAATGGAGTCAGTTGGACTAGTATTACAAAAAACTTTTACTATTCCGATATTTCAGTTACAATGGCGAGTCCTCGGACCAGGAGGGTTTTAAAAGAAGTGAGAACTCAGGATGAAAACAACGTAAGTTCAAGTATATTCACTGAAACTTCAGACTGTCCGTAGACACTCTAATTGCGAAATTAAAATTCTCTGAACTGCATGTAAGCTATACTCTATGCGTGTTTAACTCCAGTCATGTAGTTAAATTTTATGTTAAGCTTTTACTGTGCAAGTTAATTAACATAATTGTATATGATACATTACAAGTAAAATTAATATCTTATCTGTGTTTTTTTTTCTGGGACTCAATACGTAACATCAACAAGTGCAAATACGTATCTGTTTGGGAAAGGTAGCTCATCCTTCTGCTGTTTCTTGTTTTCTCAGACATGTTTTGAGTGTGGGGCATTTAACCCCCAATGGGTGAGTGTCACCTATGGAATATGGATTTGCCTGGAGTGCTCTGGCAAACACCGAGGCTTGGGGGTGCACCTTAGGTGAGTCTTTTTAATGTGGATTAATTTGGATTATGCAGTTGTATTATATGGTGTTTTATTGTGGGTGTAAGGTGTCTATTAATCAGCAGCCTACGTTTCATTTAGTGGAAGCCAATAAGAAGTGGTGCTGGAATATTTCTTGTCTTTTTGAGACTTGGACATTTCCCGCATTGTGGGTGGGTGTCTTAGCAAATCAGGTTGTCGTGCAGAGCCATAATGGCCCAGTGTCAATCCTTTAGCTTTGTGAGATCCGTCACCATGGACAAATGGAAGGATATTGAGCTGGAGAAGATGAAAGCAGGCGGAAATGGCAAGTTTCGCCTCTTCCTGGAGATACAAGAGGATTATGACCCCTGTTGGACTCTGCAGGAGAAATACAATAGCAGGGCAGCTGCGCTTTTTAGAGACAAGGTGAGCACACCAGACTCACTGCCATTTCTTTGAGTAGTGATTGGTGGTTTGAGTTAGCATGGTGGCTAAGCAGCTAGACTCTGACCAAGTGGTATCAAGGACAAGTGCTAAAACAGGCCTGCTGTTGTTCTTTAATGTGGCACTTAATCTGCTGTACTACATGCCCAGATAATTGTTGTATGGTTTGTTGTAAAATGTCAAATTTACTGTCTAGGTTGCTAAATTAAAAAAAATGTAACCGTGATTGTGCAGGTAGCAACATTAGCTGAGGGGAAGGAGTGGAGCATTGATACATCCTCTGCCAAAGACTGGACACCCCCACAAGCCAAGGCTGGTCTCTCCTCCTCACACCGGTAAGAACAGGAGAAGGTCTGCCCCAGCGTCAGTGAGCACAACACATACCTCCTCATACCGGCTAGTTCAGCCAACCGCAAAAGCAGATTGGGGCCAGAGCGAGACATGGAGACACGCATTAAATAACAATACCTGAAACTCGATTCACAGCAGTTCAGCCGGTCCAGCGAAAAGCTCAGGACTCTCTTCAGAAAAGGCTTTTGAAGACTGGCTAAGTGATGATGTCAACTCCTACCAGAGGTCAGTTTTGTCTTCACACTTTTTTTAGAGAACTATTTTTCTTTTTGTAAATAAACATGATCTATGAAGGACACTGACCAGCACAAATGGGCGCAATTGTTTAATTTTTTAATAGCAAATGGAGACTGATATTTTTGTACTTTGTTTACAGTGGTGGCGGATACAGTGGTCAAGACAATCGCTACGTGGGCTTCGGCAACACAGTCACTCCTCAGAAGAAGGAGGATGACTTCTTGAACAATGCGATGTCCTCTATTTACTCGGTATGACTTTCTGTACTGGCAGAGTGCTTAGACGTGGCTACTATTGGAAACCCTGCTGGAATATGCTGTGCTGGAGTAGAATACCATGTTATGCACAGTTTCTTTACATCAACAAAATCACTCTTCCTGTTATGCTAAGGACTTAGCTAAACTGCTACGCAGTTTGACATATTATTTATGGTAAATTACCCGTTGGTCTTTTGTAGTATGAAAATGTAATTTTTTATTTAATTTTCAGGGTTGGAGCAGTTTTGCAACTGGAGCTACCAAATTTGCATCTGTAGCTAAAGATAATGTGAGTACTCTGAGTGTAATATCCCTGTTTCTGGACAGGGCTGCATGCTCTTAAGACATATTAGTGTCATTAGACGTCTGTATGATGTCAGGTCTGAATAAGTTTTCAATTTGCTGGTATTTTAAAACAAAAGAAAATTTGATATGCATAAAACATGATGTAATGTGTTGTACTTTAATTAGAAACTTTTTTTGTAGCAAGCAAATAATTCTCATTCAGAGCAATGGCTCATGATTCCGTGAAGATATTATTTTTAGCACCATGGGCTGTAACAGCAGTGCTTTACCCAAAATATTATAAAACCTTTTTATCGTCGCTCTCACTGTCTTTGGTTCTAAACACAGTATGTTATCATAGGGATGGTCCTTAAGGGTCATGAGAGTATCCTGATGAGCTTCATGCTAACATCTGCTCTATTTCATACTTATCGCTGCTGCGATTAGTGGACACTTCTTTTTTTATTATTTTAATAAAATTACCTTTATGATTTCTTAAATGTTTTAATCCATTATAACAAATGTTTTCCTTTAATATCACTGCATAATTATGAACATAAGAACTATACAAACGAGAGGAGGCCATTCGGCCCATCGAGCTCGCTTGGCGAGAACTTAACTAATAGCTCAGAGTTGTTAAAATCTTATCTAGCTCTGATTTAAAGGAACCCAAGGATTCAGCTTGCACTACGTTATCAGGAAGACTTCCATACTCTGACTACACGCTGTGTAAAGAAGTGCTTCCTTAAATCCAGTTTGAAATGTTCTCCTGCTAATTTCCACCTATGGCCACGAGTTCTTGTATTTGAACTAATGCTGAAGTAACTATTCGGTTGAACAGCATCCAAACCTGTTAGAATCTTATAGACCTGGATCATGTCCCCCCTCAGTCTCCTTTGCTTGAGGCTGAACAGATTTAGCTCAAATAACCTTTCCTCGTATGACATTCCTCTAAGACCAGGAATCATTCTTGTGGCCCTACGCTGCACCTTTTCTAACGCCGCTATGTGCTTTTTAAGATATGGTGACCAAACCTGCACACAATATTCTAGGTGAGGTCTCACCAAGGAATTGTATAATCTTAGCATTACCTCCCTTGACTTAAACTCCACACACCTGGAGATATACCCCAACATCCTATTGGCCTTTTTATGGGAGTACTTCAAAGTATTGCAAAACAAAAAGATGGTTTTACACTGTGCAAAGTGCAATGGCATACCATAGCAACACTAGTGCTATGCACGAGCACCTGAAGAGAAAACACAAGTGCTCGTCTGGATGATGGGCTAGGCAAACCACTGGAGTAGGCAAAACCACCCTAAGTGCTGTCTATTTATGTTTATTAAATGTTTATCTACGTTGACTGATAGTGCCAGTGTCTAAGTTTGTGCACGTTGGACTTGTGACGGTGTTGTAATCGTAAACTAAAACTGAAATGAAAACGGACACTAAATAAAAGAAAATAATTTGTGAACTGAAATAAAAATGAAAACCATGTTTACAAAAAAATGTTGAACTTTAATCTGCAAAAAGTACTGCTACACCACTACCATCTTTTACCTTGTTTAACCACAGTATCTCCTCCTTTAAAAGATGGCTGCTGATCTGTAACTTAAGTGCTTTTCGCTTGTGTTGCATGTGTCGTGCTCCGCTTGCTGAAGTATGAGGATACGCCAAATTTATACAGATTACTAACTTTTGGGCATCACAATACACATCTCATTAATATGTTTAGCCATACTACTAATCTGTTTAAGGAATTGTGCGTGAAAATAATGTGCATATAGTGCCAAAACGCCCTATCTCAGTTATCTAAAGCCCTGGAATGACATACAGTTTGTTCTTGTCAATATAAATTAAACGGTCAAGTTGATTTTCTGGAGGAAAATTAGACTGGTCGATTAATCAATAAAATAGTCGATAGATTAATTTATAGAAATAGTTGTTAGTGGCAGTCCTATTTGTACTTCTAATAAATCAGCTTTCATGATGCAGTTATTTTACTTGAGGTGCCATTGACTCAGAACTGTACTAGAGCACAATAATAAGGTTTAATTTTGAGAGACATAGTCTTACTGCAGTTTTATTATAATCAGTGGTTATTCAGTTGAATAGTTTATGCTTTCATTAAAGTGGATTTGATATCTTGCACAATGAACTGAAATGTGTTCCCAGTGCATGTAGCCCTGTTCAGTGTGTATCTGTATTGATTTGTTATCATTGCCAAGATTTAAGAGATTTTACAAAAAAACTTCTTGTATTCTTTTGTGCAGACAACAAAACTTGCCACCCAAGCAACTCAAAAGGTAAGTCAATAAGCTGACATATTCTGTCAACAGATATATACCGTTAAGTATGCTTAAGCTGCTTTGATCAATTTTCAACAAGCCTGTCGTTTGCTTGATAGCTGTTAATAGAGCTGGTATCTAGATTTAAAAACATTGATATAAAATGAATAGCTCTCTATACACCACCTTGGAGTACTCAGGCAATATAACAATTCTCAGTACCCAGCTGCGATGTATGATCATGATTTGTTTTGAATATGTTTAAAGATGTCAGGCACATAAAAGTAACATCTGGTGAAGGTTTTCATACTTTAGTCATCCTCAGTTCTTGATAACATTTGCTTGTGTTATGAGAGTATCTAGTACAGGGGTGTCAAACTGCAGTCCTGGGGGCCGGAGCCCTGCACATGTTTGGTTTCCCCTCATTTAAAACACCTGATTCAACTCCTTGCAACTCCTTGTGCTAATTACCACACAGCTCTTGAGCGGAATAATTTGTGGCAGAACAGAGAAAGAACTAAACTACACAGGGCTCTGGCCCCCCAGGACTGGAGTTTGACACTCCTGATCTGGTAGGTTTACTGGTTATAGTCTGTTTATTATCTAAAATATATGGCTACCACCTATAGCCCAACACACTCCGTTTATTTTTACGACTTGTAAAATACACCTAGCTGAAGGCATTTATGCCTTTTGGTATCTTTTGGTATCTCTTGATAATCCAAGTTCATTTCAAAGGCTTGTGTTTCATGTACTATCCTATGAGTCTCAGTTCTTCCACGTAGGTGTAAATCATGGTGGCTTTTGTAGACCTCTGTGTAGACTGTAGTTTGAAATGCCTGTTGCTCCCTTTGCCTCTCTGCTTTCTGGACATAGTTAAGGGGCTATAAACCTCCTCCAGAGCCGGTAATCATCGCGTTAGTGTATGCATGGAAATCCTGTCAGTGGGCTCTAGTTAGGCTTGGTCTTCCAATGGGTCCCATTTATATTTCTGTTATTCACTTCACTTAGATTCATCCATTGTAATGTGCATGGTCCATTTCGCAAGCTCATAAGACAGTCAATGCAACAATGCTTTGTGGAGCTGTGAGTGATGTCAGGTTGCTCAGAAATAGTTCAGTTAATGTTGGATGTGTGCCTCCAGTTCAGTTGCCAAGAAGATCCTGCACATTAGTTTTGCTGTTTTTATTTATCGTTTTGTTGTCTTTATCGTTTTGTTATCTTTAACTAATGAAGTTGAGCAGTTTCCAAAACACAAACCAAATCTCCTTGACTCAGACACCCACAGTAAGCTGACTTTGCTGCTGTTCTGGCTGTAGTAGTAGTAGTAGTAGTAGTTGTTTCAGCAGCTGATGTCAGTAGCTAGATATATGTGGCACCTGCACCTGTCCAGCATGTTCCAGTGGGGCGCAGACTGTAGATTCATGCAGTGCCTGTTCTGTCATCAGTGCTCTGTTGCCAGCTCCCGTCGTCCCCAGCATTTCCCCACAATTTCCAAACCCAGCACAGTGTGCTCAAAAACATCTACATTAGGGCTGCCACTAACAACTATTTTTCTACAGATTAATCTATCGACTTTTATCGATTGTTCGATTAATCTAAACGATTAAACTGATTTTCTGGAGGAAAATTAATTTAATTTTATTTCGAGGACAACAAACTATGCTATTGCAGGGCTTTTAGATAATGTACGACGGCTTTTGAGCACTATATGAACATTATTTTCACCCGCAATTCAATAAGCAGATTAGCAATATGCTTTATTAATGAGATGCATTCTGTGATGTCCAAAAGTTAGTAATCTGTATAAATTTGGCGTGTGCTTAATAAATTAAGTTATTGGAGCACGCCAACTTGCGACAAGTGATAAGCACTGAAGTCGCGATGAAGGAAGGGACAAGATCAGCAGCCATCTTTTAAAGGAGAAGATACTGTGCTTAAACAAGGTAAAAAGGTGGTGGTGTGGAGGTACTTTTTGCAGATTAAAGTTTTTATTATTTCAGCTCACAATTTATTTTCTTTTTAGTGTCTGTTTTCATTTGTTTGTTTACGCAGGAACGTGCACACTGGCACTGTCAATTAACGTAGAATAAGATCAGATTTTAGCCTAAACATTTTCAAAAACACTAATTCAATAGTTATTCTAAGGTAGCAGGCAGACAACTTTATGGCTTTGAGTGTATTTAGCAGCTATAAGGACAAAGGATATTAAAAAGCTCTCCCTACTTATGGTAATTTAATAAACATGAATAGCGACACGGTGGTTTTGCCGTTTCTGGGTCTAGAGTAGCACCTGTGTGTTCTCTCCAGGTGCTTGTGTATAGTGCTAGTACTGCTGTGATATGCCGTCGCACTTTGCACAGTGTAAAACCACCTTTTTCTTCTGTGAAAATTTGAACTACTCCCATCATTACGTAGTGATATTAAAGAAAGACATTTGTTTTAATGAATTAAAGCGTTTTAGAAACCATAAAGGTAATTTTAGTCATCAACTACATCAGCTAATAGCGGCAGCCCTAAACAACATCCTTTGGGTTTTCAGATATGCACAAATGTAATCGATTTTCTTTAATTTGATTTGAAAATATCCATATTGAATTGGTTTTGACTGTATCCTCAGTGTGCATTGCTGCTTTCAGACAGCAGTGTGAGTAGTCAGTGCTTTATATCTAATTTGGAACTCACGGGAATTTCCCTGTGATGTCTAGGCTTCCAGAAATAAGCATATTTATCTTGTCTGAAACTGTGCTGGGTTCCTCATACGCCAAACACTTTGCTTTTCCTTTTCTGTGCGTCCTGGGACAAATTCCCCTCAGCTTGCCTTCTCATTTTGGCTCATTGTCAACAAAAAGCACAGCTTTTTCAATGCAGTAACACTGATGAGCCTCATCTTCCCTTTGTAGAATTCTGTGCTCTCAACTTAATGTCTTGTTTTTCTTTTCTACTTCAACTAGGCTGCAGAGTTAGGCCAGACATTAAATGAGAATGTTATCAAACCTACCCACGAAAAGGTAACGCTGGGAGTTCCAAGTTATTGTGTTCCCTGGCAGCTTCTATTGTTATGCTGCTTAGTTAATTATTTAGTTACAGGCATTTATATTTAGCAGCTAATATTGTCTTTGTTTCCTGTGTCAGTGTCCAGTGAATAGAATGCATGAAAGTATTTGAGCAGTGTAAAATGTATTTCATAGTCAGCCATTTTGTAAATGGCTTTGTCTGTATAAAGAAAAATCCAGTTTAAAAAAAATTCATGTCCTCTCTGAAAACTGAATCAGAAAGAGCCAAATACACATCATTATGGTAATTTTGAATCACAGGAATCTGTCCTATAAATTGTAAAATTGTGTACTCTTAACCTATGAAAATGTATTTAGAATTTCTTGGATCTGAAATGGTAATTTTAGAGATAAAAATAGCTGGAAAAAACCAGTGTTTTCCCATGGCACTGTACCCCGGTGTAAAATGACATGGCGGGTCACATGTTTGCTCCACCTGGCATTAACGGCAAATTGACTCGTCCAGGTTAAGGAGGGCAAGTTGCTTGACGACATGACAACCGGCTTCTCTGAGCTGGCTGTAAAGGTAGGCGATGTCCCAGTGCTGTGCCTCACGCCCAGCGCCAGCCTCCCAGCGTGTGTCCAGGCGGGGGAGGGGGGGAGGGGGAGGGAATGGCACTACAGGTCACCATGCTTCACGTTCACTGCTTACCTCAGGGCTCGAGAAGCACAGTGTCTTTACAGACAGTTACTTCAGTAATTAAGAGGGGCTCTGCAAGGATGTGGGCCTTTTCCTGTAGCCTGAAACACCTGCCGTTTCTTAGCATAACAGATTTAGGGCGGCCTCTCTGGCCCCATTATTACTATGCTCCTCATGGGAGGCTGGCTCGGGTTTGAATGTCTATTTGTATATTAAAACTTTAATGAAGTTCCTGTCTTTCTTCCTCTGTGCTGCCTTTATAATTGTAATGGTGAGTACTGTGTACCTCACAGTTTGGTTTGGTTCTGTTATTACGAATACAAGTTTATTTTCTGTTGTTGAAAAGTTTGTTGGTTTACTTGCGAATGTCTATAGTGTTGATGAAGAAATCCCCCTCATGTTCTTTATGTAAAGCTTGTGTGTTTTGCTTTAAAAGGTTCAGGGGGCTGGCTCCAAGGGCTGGAAGGACATGACTTCTTTCTTCAGTGGGAAGACCGAGGACCCCACAGACAGGTAGTGAGCGAGCCAGGCCTTACCCCAGAGATGGAGCTCAGTCAGTAGAAATGTCAAAATGCCACTGGGCCACACTCAGTAGAACATTTCAAACCACCCAGGCAGTGGTTTATTAAATCTCCCAAGCTGAGTGCTAGTGAAGTGCTGCGGTTTATTTAGTATATTAAGAAACAGCAGGCAAATAAGTTACCACATCCAGTTAAAATTGATGGAATAGGACCAATGCAGAATGTTTGTTTGCCTTCACGGTTGGTTTTGTTTACCAGAATCGCTTGCTTTGTTTGCCTGCACGGTTTGTTTTGTTTGCCAGCCTTATTTGCTTACGTAGTTTGTTTATAAGTTATTTTTGTGGTGTTCTGCCAAAGGTCGTCGGTAGGTGGTAGCTACCAGAACATGGACTCCCCAGAGGGCTCCCATAGCGGCACTGGGGCCAACCAGGATGGCTGGGAGGGCCCCGGGGGGGGCAGCAGCGCCAAGCGCTCCGGCAGCAGTGACAGCTGGACCGTCGCCGACGCCTCAGCAGGGAAGAAGAGCTCCGACAGCTGGGACAACTGGGCATCCGAAGGGCCGTCCAACAACAAGCACAGCACGGGGGACAGCTGGGAGGCATGGGACAGCAACTGGGAGAACATGGGTGAGAGCAAGGCGAAGAAGAACCAGCCCAAAGCTGCCGAGGAAGCCTGGGACAGTGCTGACTGGTAGGAGCGGTACTCTGATAGCGCTCCTCCCCCACGTCGATGCAGCATCGAACTCACACCGATTCCCAACGGTTCCTCTGAAAGTTAATGGTGCAGTCTAAGAGTAACGTAAGTTGTCTTTATAGTGTTCACTTTGACTCAACAGTAGTGCATTTTGTTTAATCTGTCAGATTGATCTCCATCCACAAAGATTCTGTCCCCCTCAATAACTGTACAGACCAAGAATGAAAAACAAAAATCTGTTTTATGATGCCACAATTCTCATTTTTAGTTTGTTTTCCCAAGGAAGCATTTGTTACATTACCAAGTGCTTTTTAAAATGAAATATATTCAGGTAAATTGTGGAATTATAAAATGACAAGTAATATTATTGTTCACATATTAACTGCCTGTAAAAAAAAATATGATTTTTCTGTATCATGCTTGTTATGGAATGCAATTAATTTGGCGCACAGCAGTGCAATAAATTAATATAACTAACACTTTGACATTCTGTCGACGTAGCCAAAGGATTGAATACACTTGGTTCTTAAAAGTGGACATTTTACATACGTTCCAGTGATGGCAAATTTGTATATACTGTAAGCATGTATAATAGTCTGCTGCATCCTAATCTGTTCTGTCTGTCAGAGGCCCTACTAAACTTCAGGTGCTGTTACATGCAGTGATAACTATTGTATTATTGTATTTTCACCTGAACACTGGGATGGTCACACAGCAATAAAATGTGAGATTATCCTGCCCTCAAATTTTATTGCCAAGGCTCTGTGGATCTCAGACCTGCAAAGCAAATTACAAAAAACAGAAAAGTCTCAGAATTCAAATCAGTTGTTTGTATAAAACAAAGCCTTAATATTTAGTGTGCCGGCAGGAGTCGGTGATTGAGGATTGGAATAACCGGTTCTTCTGTAACCTCAGCAGCTGATTGGACACAGCATATCCGTAACTGGGGCTGCTGGAAGCTGATCCATCCTACGTGTGCATTTGTCGAAACTCTACTCAGTTTTAGTGCTGTTTCTCTTGTTTCTTGGAATTGCTCTTGCTTTCTTAACGCTAACAAATTAGAGTGGTCTCTGGGAATAAGGTGCTTCTCTCAAGAGTATCTCTTATTTGTTTATTTCCTGCTGTGGAGTAGTGTACGCTTTGCAGTCTAATGTATCTGGGAATTCATTCTCCACTCCTAATTGGGGGGAAAAATGCATCTGCAATTTAACTGCATGGGTAGGAATCTGCAGTTTTGATGGTTCCAGTTCTATGCTGTAAATAGGTTTAATGCGCGCACACAGTCTTACTTGTTTGTTTATATTGTATGGGAAAGGTATTGCGTGACTTGTACTTGCTTGCTGTTCCCAGATTCATCACGATCAGGTGCAAATACAATAGTTCCGTATGTCTGGGCATGTCGTGTGTAAATAGTTAAACATCATAATGCTGTTGTGCAACAAAAGATACATGGGCTCTATAAAAATGTTTCCCCCCCCCTTTCCCTGAAGTGTGAACTTTGCATTGGTTGTGTAAAGCACCTTCCCAAGGCAGATAATTGTTAAATGCTGTTTTGTTTGAACCTTAAATTTTACCTTGCTTCCATATAAATTGAACAATTGCTGTCCTTAGTGTTTGCTCCATATGAGCTGACAGTGGAGTGAGAAACAATGTTATGACTTGCTCCGCCCTTCCACATCTTGGTTTATATTATATAAAAAACAATCCTTAATCTCTTCATGCAAATTTGCCATTGTAATAAGCACATCTGTTCCATGCAATTTTTGTGAAATACAAGAAGTTGGAAAATCCCAGACAAATTGTTCCCTGCTGTGAGATATGACTTTTTACAAATCATCAAATGACTTTCAGATGCATGAGTGATGAGCTTGTGCACTTAATTATTCAGGACTCATCACTGCTTTTCAAATTTTCGTTCACATGGCTAGTTGCAGCATAAAGTGTCTAATATATCTCTTGCATATTTTCATCATTTTGTCAGACATGGCTGTAATTATTATGGAGATCAGTATTTTTAAAAATAACAAATCTACTTCTTGGGTCCCATCTCAAAAACTGTAGTCACTTTATGCATTTTTTCACAGAAAGTTTGTTGCATGATATACACCAATTTGAATTTTATGTAAATGTATCAAATTCATGTATTGTAGTTTTATTTTTCAGAAAATATAATTCCTTAATTTTGTGTTTAATCAAAAAAAATAATTTGTTTGTCTAAATTATGTAAAGATCAATGGTAGTTTCATAGTTTCACCAAATTTGTCCCACAGTCCAATAGCACCCCCCTCTGGTTAATGACATTTACGTTTTCATTGCATATCCTTCCTGTTTAAGACTTTATTTTAACAAAATGCATTTTTTGAAAATGACAAAGCATTCCAAGGCCAGAAGAGGTCACTGTGCTGGGTTAATGTGCAATATATTTTCATTTCTGAAATCAATCTTTTCCCTTTGGGCCTCAAACAAAGCTGGGACTGGCCCAATGGAGTTCAAACCATGTAACAAAAAAAAAAAAAAAACTTGAATGGGTATCCTTGTTGTGTAGTCCTTTTGTCTGAAAATAAAGACAAAAAACATCAGATGTTGTATACCAATACTTTCTTGAGAGTAATGAAATGTTTCTAAGAAGCTACTACAAATTATCCAACTTTTTATTCTTAATTAGCTTGTTTTTCCTTTAATAAATTTAGCATGAAACACAACCAAGACACTTTACATGCATTCTGGCTAATAATACTGGCTTGAGATAAAGCTAAACATTTACTAATTTCTAGAAAGACTGCAAATCGTTTGTTTTTATAAGACTATGGATTTTTTTTTGTTAGATTTATAATAAATATATTGTGAAAATGTGCAAATATATGTATTGTTAGTTGTAGTTTAGAAATTCAGGTGGTACTGATATACTAAAATATGAAATATACAAAACACTGATTCTTCTACAGTCTCAAAAAGATCTGCATATCAAATTAAAGTCATTATTTAGTTTATAAATTTATGTTAATACTTAAACTATGGCCAATGGGCCAGTTCTGCCTGTTACCCCACCAGCCATGGGATTCAAACCAGTGACCTTCTGACCCAGATACCCACAGAACACCTCACGCAATAATCATCCTCCAACCACATACCCGGTCAGTATCACAGGCTTGAAATACATCAGATTAAAAAGTATACATGTCCAAATCTACGCTGTTTCAGCTGCTCCATTGACCACTCTTGGTGACACTCTTAAAACCGTTTCCCCTTTGAACCCAAACATCCAAAGTGAAAATGACCCTTGCATGTATTGAAACTCCTACATATGCCTTCTGCCACATCTTTCTTGGATTACTGTAATACTGCTCCGGCTGTTATCCAGTAAAGGCTTCTCAGTCAGCTTCAGCTAATCCTACAGAAGACAGCTAGAATCCTTCTGGGCCCAAAGTGATCCCACCATATCACCTTAATGCTATTCAAACTCCACTGATCTTCCGGGACGTCGTAAGAACTCCCTGGTGCAGTGCCTGCCTCGCCTGACTTGACAGTTACACTTGACTTCCTGGGTATTCAGAGTGGTATTCTTTGGCCAGATGTGTCTTGTATGACGGAGGAGAAGACTGAGCTTTTAGCTGTGTAGCGCATACAGTTGTGGGAGGTCTCTTTGCATATTAGGTCAGCTGAATCTTTGGGATAAATACTCCAACAAGCTAACAGTAAGGTTTTATAAGAATGTTGTTACTTTGATTCAGGCCCTATAAGTCATGAAGACACACTTTTTCATGCTTATATTATTTGTTTTTAAGATAATTTGTGCATTTAGCCGACACTTTTTAACCAGTGTGACTACCTGTAGCATTTGGGGCTCTGGGCCTTTCTCAAGACGGCGACAGTGTCATCACTTTGCTGACCACGGGATATGAACCAGCAACCTTCCAGTAATGGCCATAGACTCCTAACCAATGGAGTCACACACCACCTTTTAGTGGATGTATCTCCATGCACTGTACCCAGGATTACCCAGAAGAAACCCATGTGACCTTGGGAAAAAATACGAACCCCCACCCACACTCAGCAGAGGGGAGATTCCAATGCTGCCCTTATTCAGCAGACATTTTGGTCTAGACCAGTGGATCTCAATCCAGTTTCTAGTTCCCGTCCCACCAGAATGTTCCAACTCTACTGTAATCAGACTCATATGGTCCTTAATAGGTTAATAATGAATGTGGCAGGTTGAAAACTGTCTGGGTGGAGGGGGGAATGATTAACCCTTTGAGATACCATTTCATTTGGTGAAAGTATTAGACAAGCGACAAATTAATACTCAACATCATTATCACTATTACAATTATTAGTATTATCCATCCATTCATCCATCCATCCATTCCCAGACTCTTTCAATTGTCTGTCCGCTCATCATTCTAAGCGTTTAGAGAATTAATGATGATGATAACGATTATTATTATTATTATTATTATTATGATCGCATCCATCAAAAGGGGCGGTGCTTTATGGGACTTCGCGTCTAGGGCTGTTCCAGGCCCCGCCCTTGAGGTGTGGCCACGCCGTGTCTCATCGCCCAGAGTTTCCCACAGTACAGACGGTTCGGCGGTTTCGGAAGCGTCGGAGCTTATAGGGTGAGTCCCGCTTCCGCTGCAAAGTGTCTGGCTCCCAAAAAACCTGACAGCGATCGAAGTGGCTTGCGTTTCTCGGCCACGGATGATCGCGCCTGGTATTTTTATTCCTATGGAAAAGTGCACGATTATCGCCGACGGTGTGCTTACGCTTTAAGTATGATTACCAGCCGCATGACTGCCTATTGTCTAACTCAGAAGAAAATGATCATTTTCGCAATAACAGCTGCTTGATTACCATTACTTTGTCAGCAAGCTGTGTTCTAAGTCAATACTTGTAGCTCGGTTGGATTGTAAGTAAACGCGTAGCTGGCCGATTTTTATGATATATACTAATTGTCAGTATTTAAATTGTATGAAATTGACCAGAAAACGCTCGCTGTTTTTTATGCAATGGACTAGCAGTTTCTTTATCCTCTTACCCACGTTTTTTTGTGAATGCGTGCATGCAACTCTTCCTGAATAGTATTTTTATTTTTTCCTGCTAAATAAGGCGCATATTCATATTAATTATCTGAATTGTCAAGTATGAGATGTGGGAACTGGTGCAGTTTTGCACGTTGACCGATAAGACTCGAGTGGAGAGATGTTGCGACGGGTAATTTTTATAACTAGCTTCATCTTCCATTATTTTCCGGGTTTTCCTGGAGATTGATTGATGCACGTAAACATGTACAATTAATATCTGCCAGATAGATGCTCACTGTTGCGCTGGATACATGGAGCCTATTATGTAACCCCAACACAGCACTAGCTACTTAGCCAGAAACGGTGGTCGTGATTGTGTATGTATATAATGCCCTTGGGTAAACTGACCTGGGATCAGTTTGACTATTTAGCCCCTAATGGTTTAGAGTTGAATCACCGATCAGCTAGCCGATCTGAAATCGGTTTTTAAGGCAAAAAGAAGGAAAATAAAAGTAACCGCAGCTAACTGTGCAGCGTGTAGACATTTTGTGACAACGCCGGATCGATGTGATACCTGTTATTCCCCTGATCAAAATGTCGTTGCGGCAAGCAAGGTTAAGATACTTTTTAACTATAAAATAACCCTAACGTATAGCTGGCATTGCAGCGTTGCCTAGCCTGTTTGTGCACTTCAAAAATTTACACCAGAGTTAAAACGCGAAGGAATAAATGATCTATTTTGGAAAATCTATATGCATATATATATGTTTTGTGATTGTCAGTGGGGACTGCGATTATTTTCACGTAAATAGACATAGTACCCATATGTACTGCTTGATCACTGCATTTATTAATCAAATTACATAAAGGGTACTTGTTGAAACCGTCTATTTTTGAGCCCTTAGTTTTGCTGTTCCTCGAAATTTAAAGTTATATTCTGCAGTGATTTATGTGTTTATTACTGCTGATACTTGTAGGGACTGTACCAGCTGTGTAAAAAATCAAATAAGTAATAGGATAGTGGATGAGAACATTATTTTTTTTATTAAATTGGGGGGGGGGTTATGATGTGGGGGTGGGGTGTGGGAGCGCTGTCGGTTTTGAAGGTTTCTGATGGGATGCATGGCGCTGTTTACAGCGTAGGTAGGTCAGCAGTTGCCAGAGTAACGGAAGGTGCACAGCACCGTCTTTGATGTGGAATCCCACACTGCTGTGCATGGTGACAGCCCCAATGCTGATGCTGAACATTTACATTATTGTTGGAAGTGCCCAGGGGTTCATACCTGCTCAGCATGGGTGAAAAATAGCTGCCTATGGGTGGGTGGAGCCTCAGTCCGTGAGCAATAAATGTAAAGCAAAAGCAAAAGATTTCATTTTTGCTTTTTACCCTGCTGGAGTTTTTAAAAAAAATCTTTCTGATGTGCACTGTATGTGCTGTATTATGCCTGTAGCACAGTGGATAAAATGCTACATTTGTGACTCAACAAAATATGTAGCTGTATAAACTGGCAATAGGAATCTGCAGGTTATATAAGTGACTTGATGCGGAAAAAAATGCCTGCCATCTGACTGTGTGCTGTCACGTGGCCCTGAGGAAGGAGAACGGCTTTTATACATATTTACATTATATTTACATAGTTTGGGGCTTTTTTTATTCGTGTGACATGATTCGACGCAGTCTTATGGGACAAGAGAGATGGCGAATGGCTTTATTCTAGGGGGTGCTGTGTCACACCCGGAGTGACATTGGCCTTTTTGCATTCATTTATATACATTTTTTCCCCAGAGAAATGGTGTGAGCATTGAGCTGGTGAGAGACAGACACCAGGAGCCCGTCCGACGCCGAGCTGTCTGGTAAGAGCTGGGCCCCTCGAACCCGGGGCCTGAAGGCCGAGCAGAGGTTTGATTGTCATTTCACATTTCTCATTGCTTAGATGATTATTGTCTTTTTACCATAATTTTTGACCATGATTGTACTCATCTGGCCACTGCAGGTTTCCTGCATGTCTTGTGAGATTTTGTCCTGGTACTTTGTTGTTGTATTACATCACTGTAACAAAGGAATCCCTGCTTGTGTGGCCTTTTATAGTGAAACACATGACAGCCGTTAGATGTTAATTAGGAAATTACCTAGTTTCCTCACCAGCATTTGACTTCAGGGATTCTGAAGCCATGACATAATACATAAAGAATCTGTCTTACTATTTTGTAGTTTTGTAAATGGGGCCCTACAATTTACGCAAATGAGTTAATAGTTCGAGCAAAACTTTGTTATATTGCATATCTGAATGTAATTTTATTCATTCAGAACTAAAACCATTTAATCCCAAATGTTATAAAAATGCTGAGATTTTAAATATCATCATCACGATTACTTGTGGTTGTACAGGATTTTTCCATTTAAATTCTTGTCTGCCCCAGCTGTCTCCGTGAAGGGATTGAATTTGTTTTGGAGTATTTATAGAGAGATCGAGAGAAAGGCTATCCCCCTGTAAAATATATTCTCGATCTTCATATGGGCCAGTGGACGCTGGGACGCCCCCTTTGTTTCCTGAGGGGAGGGGCCTGCTAAATTAACAGGGGCTCTGATTCAGGCTCCACAGGCATCTGTTTTCAATCCTGGCACTTTTATAGCTGTGGCCCATGGGCCCAGACCGTGTCGGACGGCTTTTCCGGTCCCGCCACCGGCCCCTCCCCTCCCTAGGCCCGCCGCAGCTTCCCTCTCCGGCGCTACTCACGCTCTGCCTTTACTTTTGGCCGACTGCCTCATTCAGGCCAGCGGTCGAGACTCTAGTCACTTTATTACAGACATTTGAAGCCGTGTGTGTTAAAGCGCTTGGACTCGTCCTCATACGCTGTGTTTTGTTCCCACTGTCCTACATTAGCGGAATGCCCAACCCCAAGACAGTCGCTCTGACTCAGCGGTGTGCGCGAGTTTGGATATTCATTTCATTAACCCCTGTCCAGACCCAGGACTTCATTTACCCCTTTGCTCCCACATTGCATAATTCATGAAAAACAACCAAGTTTCGTCATTGTTTGTTAAATATCCTTAATTTTGTGTGAGGGGCCCATCTTTTGCGGCCCATTGTCCCAGTGTCTTTCACAGATGAATATGATAACCCAACACAGAACTACTGGTTAACTGCCCCCTGTCTGATTCCCGCTAAGTTCTTTAAGAGTAAGTCATTTGTTCTATGATGCTCCCTTATTTAGTCAACATCTTGACATGTCGTATAAGCCTCTGTGGACAAACTTGCTGGCTTTATTTTCTCTGATTTAGCCTGGTCTACTTGGGAACTTTTGCCCACAGCTAGGAGTGTGACTCTCCTTCTTTCCTGCGAAGTTCTCCATCCATCACTGCTGTATAGATGTGATTGGGGCTTCTGTTTTGTGGGCTTCTATTTGCATGGAAAGCGTAGAGAAAGCCGGTGCCTAGCGCGCATCTGTTTTTGTGCAAAAGTGTGACATCTCAGTGAAGCGGTTTATGTAATCGCATGGGCTGCTGCGCTGTCTTTGTGTGGATCGCAATGTGGTCGGTCGGTTTCATTTTTGTCTGCAGAGACCAGTGTCACCAAAATGGTGCAGCGTGGGAAGGTTCTGGAATGTGCTTCTGCCCTGTTCTTCAAGGGTCCGTCCTGCTTCTTGTTCCTTCACTCTCTGACGTGCACTTCAGTTCTGTCTGCATCTCTCTGCATGTTCACTTGCGTGTTCTGCAGTCTAGGGATGCATCGCTGCAGTATTCATAGCTTAACCGGTTGCATTTCTCATCACAATTCGTTTTGAGGGAGTAAATGGACATCCTAGTTGAGCCTTATGGTCCTGTTAAAATTTTCTACTTTTAAGAAAAGTATGAGAGTTCTGCAAAAGTTTTTTTTTTTCTTTCTTTCTTTCTTTTCTGAAAATGTGTCCAGCTGGAAGACAAAATGGCAGCAGAAGTGGGTCCCAGCAATCTGTGTGGTTTCCTGGACTTTGCCGTGTCACCAGTGAGCCCAGCCAGACTGCAAGCCCTCAGAGACGTTGAATTGTGGGAGCAGGGCTGTTTTTCTTGTGACTTTTGGGCTCCTTCCAAACATTGTTCATTTAGCCGGATTCGGTGCTGCTGGAGTTTCCCGAAACGATCGGAGCCCCCAGGCCACATTGCCCCCCCTGCCCCAAGGCCTCTGTACCCCACTAAGCGCGGCTTGCTGCGTGGGTTTGAGCGGATGTCTGCCTGCTACAAACGTGGCATTATTGCGCTCTCACTGTGTCGTCTGTCCCCAGGGAGTTCAGTCCTGGCACGCTGCGGCGTTGCCGTGGTGCCAAAGTTTCATCCGCTTTCAAACGGGATGGAAACTGAGAGAAAAGACGTCGGCTACATCTGAAACTAACTAAAGTGGCAGCAGGCGAGGACTCTGCTGCAGCGGATGACTTGAGATGAAAAGGATAAAATTCCCTGAGATCTTCGGCATTCTAGAACAGTCTGCCCAATACCATATGAAATTTAAGGAAGCTATGTTAAAGTGCTCTGGATATGGTTATAATGATTCTAGTTACTTTCTGTCATCTTAGTGTAATGTGAATTTGTGTGGTTGCACAAATATAGCAATGCATGCATTTAAAAATTAATGTCTGATTTTAATATCAGGATGTTATGAGAGCAGTCCGTCCCTTACGTGTGGAATGTAAGACTTGCCTTGAGTTTGCAGCGTTCATATATTAAGTTTCTAATTATACTGCTTAAGTATACGTATTTACAAAATGCACAGTAACAGAAATGAAATGGTAAGAAATCAGCAACATTTTTTCTGCTAACAAATTTAGGCAATTGTTTGGGTAATGTCCAACATGCTAGAGTATCCAGATGTTAAAGGTTTTGAGGGAACAGGCATTAACTGGGTCGTAATTAAAGGAGCCTAAGAGAGGCAAACTGTTTTATAAAAGAGTAAAAACAACACCTGAAGTTAACAGGATCTGCTTTTGCTGTTTTCAGGGCCTCGGGCCGTACAGAAACACGACTGGAACTCTGGGCGTAAGGCCAGGCCTGGCTGGGTGTTTGGGATTAAGCTCAAGATCTCGAGTTCTGGGGAAATCGCCATTCAGTAGCTATTCCTGCTTCAGTACTGCCCGCTTGTTGTTGTTGGTCTGCAGTGAGTCAGAAGATTATGGCACATCAACAACTTTGATTTATTGCATCCATATTTATACACGTCCAATTTTAAATGTCTTCATACCTTGTTAGACACAAGAAGTCACTGGTAGGGTTGTTGCGAAAATAGCATCTGTTTATAGTAAAATTAAATGGTTAGCTATAACTCAGTTATTCAATTCAATTCTTTTATTGTCATGTGTCAAGTACATCAGAACTGGATTAGCGTAGCTAGGCTAGTTGCTTAAGAGTCTGCCAGGAAATGAACAGTTTGACTCCCACCAATCCAGGGGTTTCTCCCAGGGCTTTGTGAGGCCCCTTGGGCTCCATAGGGCAGTCGCTGGGAGTCCACAGAGACAGTTCCAAAATGTCGGCATAATAATCCAGCTAATGAAAGGTTTTCAAAGGGGAGCCCTTGTATGGCTGTGCAAATGTAGGAATGCATGCATTTAAAATTTTCCATCAGAATTCAATACAAGAATTGTGAAAGAAGGATGAAAGAAATATTAAAGCCCCCCACCGCCATTCTTAGTTCTTTTTACTTATATGATCATGCACATCGCAGGCTCTGGTCTCTTTTTATTTGTGGGTCTCTGGTTCAAGGCTAAAAAGCCATCTATAAGGGTAAATTGCTCTGATACAGGATGGACTGTTTGCTGCGACCAAGACCTGAACACCACCGTTTTCCCTGAAAAGGAAATATTAGGAAGAACTGTGTATTGTAAAGTGTGCGGAAGGAGCTCCCATTTCGGTAAGCAGGCACCGTAACAAGGAGAAGAGAACAAACGGCTCAGGCTGCTGGTCTTTCTCGCCGTGTTGCCAGGTGACTGCGATCGTTACTTTGTGCCTTCAGCAGCTGACGTAAAATCGACTCGCACTTTGCCAATCGCAACGTTAAGAGACGTCAGGAGATGGAGGATAAAGAAGATTCGGGGTTAGTCGCTAAAGATACAACACATATACTGCCCTGTAGCCTTGTCTATCTCCTCTTCATAAACATGCCGTTCTTCCTGATTCTTCTCTTTTCATAGCCTGGATTTTCAGGCTCTTTGAGGCATGTTGTCATGTGGGAGGTGAATTTCTTGAAAATGCTCACGCCTGTTTATGAGTTATGAAATAAGGCGTACAGCATTGACACGTTTTTCATCTGTGAGCTAAAACAAGCCGTGATTTCTACCGCTTTCCCTGGCAAACATTCTTTCACCCTTTTAATCGAATGAATTTGCAGGCCAGACATGGACACTGAGCACCTGACGTTACGCCGGTTTGTTTTGCTCGTCAGCTTCAGGAATGTTCCGTCCCGCACTGCTGCTCATTTCCCACAAGGAAGTGCGGCTGAAGCTAGAGCCGTTAGTGTCGCGTAGCTGAAGAATGCGGCCGGACCGGAGCGCCATGTGGGATCAGGGTGAGCTGTGATGAGGTCCTTTGAAATATGTACTTAGAAACAGTTATGGAGTTTATACAAGTTCTACCCTGCAAGCTTCATCCAGATATTTAGAACCAGTCATTTTTCTACAGCCCACAGTGCTGACTAGGTTGAGTGGTTAGAAAATACATGGATAGATGGATGGATTCAGTTCTCATTCACTTCCTCCCTTCAATACCACCCTTAAAGTCCTGTGCTGCACCATCCACCTGCCTGCCCTTATACATGTCTGCTACACTGCCCCCTGTCTGCTCTTATATGCGACTGCACTTTGGGTGTCAACTACATTGCCCCCATCCGGCTCTTATACGTGACTGGACTTTGGTGTCTGCTACACTGCCCCCTGCCTGCTCTTATACGGAACTGCTCTTTGCAGGTCAGCTACGGTGCCCCCTGCCTGCTCCTTCTAATTGCACAGTCCATCAAATCTGACCAGCATTGACGTGTAATTTAGGCTTCATGGTCGACCTGACTTTATGCGTATACTCTTTGGCTGACTGGAGAAGACAAGACAAGTCAAGTAAGGACAAGTCAAACTTTCCCGTCATTTAAAAATATGCAGGCATACAGTGAAATGAAATCGCGTTTTTCCGAGATCTCGGAAATGTTCTCAACCCCTGACTTCCTCTAAGAAGTAAATAATACGGAAGTTTAGATTTACTTGTTTGTTGGTGTAGTTAAATCCTGGCAGTATAATGTTAAGGAGGACTCTGTGCGGGATTCTTTCAGGTTCCCCATTTTCCCTTTATAGCCCTAAGATAGGCAGTTAGGCTAACTGGTGTCTCTATCCAGAGTATGGGTGTGCGTTCTTGTATGTGTGCCCTCTGATGGAGTCAGCGTGGGATGTCATTGGCTCCAGGCCCTCCTGACCAGACTGAGTGATTAGATGGTGCATGGACAGATGGATGGATGATGGATTAAGTTAAATATCCAATATTGCAGTGTTTCCCAATCCGGTCCTCTGGGACCGACAGCCGGCCCATGTTTTTGCTCCCTCCCAACAGAGGAGCTGGGAAGCAGTAAAAGCGGGGACTGCTTTGGGTCCCCAATGACCAGGCTGGAAAACACTGCAACATTGTCTTTGAATGAATGTGAAATTTCAGACTTCTGCAGACTGGCAGCCTGCATGTTCTGTCCTCATCATTTCACGTTGATGGTTCATCGCACTTCTGTTGTGTAAACATGTTAACACCTGAAAGTTCCCAAAATGATCTTCACGTTGTGGAGACTCCTCCTCCCCACGGATGTCTGTGCAGAATTTTCTCATGTCGATGTCTTTCCATTTATTCTTGCTCTATATATATATATATATATATATATATATATAATATGCTTTTTTTGTCAACCACAAACTGAACCCATTTGAATCTAATTGTATGTGGAACACAAAAACGGCCTTTAGTGTAATCCGAGGAGTATCAATCACGGCTTATCAGGAATCATTTCGTCCTAGACGACACACAGTTCTGTATCGGCGACTTCCTGACACTGACAGCCTGAAAACTTTTTCTAACTTTTTTTTGCCTGTTTGAGAATACAGTAAACCAAACACCTGTGGCAATTCTAAATCCCAATTCACTTTGGACTCACTACATCCTACTTTGAACTTGCATAAATTGAACGTCCATTTTCCATAGCCGATTATCCAGGCTCCTTTTACGGGAAGCAGGGGGGGCACCCTGCACAAGATGCCAACCCATCACAGGGTTAGTGGTTACACACTCACCCCATAAGTAGAGTAGCCTGAAGAGCGTTTTTCTGGACCACGGTGGGAAACCAGTGTGTCTAAGGGGAGATGCGTTAAAGCACACGGAGAGCATGCAGCCTGCGCAAACGCAGGGCCGGGTCGGCCTGCGCAAACGCAGGGCCGGGTCGGCCTGCGCAAACGCAGGGCCGGGTCGGCCTGCGCAAACGCAGGGCCGGGTCAGGGGGCCGTACCCTACAGGTTTGGTCCATGCTGCTAGGCTACATGTATTTAATGGGAAAATAACGTGCATTTTGTAGGAGGGTAGATATACGTAATATGTGGATTTGCCAGAGAGAGCACCATAGTCATTTATATGTCTAGACCTGTGCATTGGAGCTATTATGTTACTGTGGTGATTATGAAGAACCAGAGGCCATTGTGGGACTTGTATATGAAAGTAGAGCATTTCTCAGTGTACTTCCACTTTAATTGTTCCTCATTCCTCTCTCTCTCTCTCTCTCTCTTTCTCTCTCTCTTTCTCTTTCTCTGTCTCTCTACAGCGTGGCGTGAAGAGAGAGCAGCAATGCCCCCACCCTCTGACATCGTGAAGGTGGCCATCGAGTGGCCCGGGGCCAACGCTCAGTTCATCGAGATCGACCAGGTCAGCGACGGTCATCTTTACCCCGCACTCCTCATTACTGCTGGCTCTAAACTGACCCTTTGTCCAGTTCATTAATTTCCAAGAGATTCCAACCTCAGTCTTCAGGTTTCCCTTCCATTTAATAAAGGGGATTAACTTTCAGTACTATTATGATGTAAGACAAGTTATATAGAATGAAGTTGTGTTGAAACCAGCAATGAGGATAAGGCTGCCATGGCCTTCATTGTCAAGTAATGCCTTCATTAGAATCATGTGCTGTAGAAGAGTACAGAATATGTTGGGCAACTGTACAGTGGATGATCAGAGATCAGTTATTTGCATAATACAAAGTCGGGACAAGACAAGAAACATAGTCAAGACAAGATAATGACATTTTTGGCATTTTCTAATATTTTGTTCTTTCCGACACTTGCGCCATCTTTGACGGATTGTCCGAATGGATTCCGGATTGATTCCTGTCCACAGAAGAAGCCGTTGTCCTCCATCGTCCGGGAGGTGTGTGACGGGTGAGTGCCCCCCCCCCCCCCAAAAAAAAAACACATGGTGACACCTACCTGCCTGTGTTAGCGCTCCACCCCATTTGGTATAGAAGTAGATCACATGCTCGACAGTCCCAGTCACTCGCCTTTGATTGGATCCCCTTTGCTTAAGTTCCTGTTGACTGCAGACATGTTCAATCCCGCTTCAGTCCCCATGTAAAGGTTCGGCCTACTGGCTGCACCTCAGCCCCCAAAATAGCGGTTGATTGATTTGCTATTACAATTCCAGCTTAATTACTAATTTTATGCATCAGTTAATGTCAACACGTCGTTCGCCAGCAGCAGTTGTGTATACAGTGCTTTTTCCGCTTTTGCAGTGAGATGCCGTTTTCATAAAAACACCTGCCAAATCTTACAGGGCTGTTCAGGTGTACTGGGGCCCGTTAGACACACTGCTGTTGCTGTTCATTGTGTCCTGGGGCCCGTTAGACGCACTGCTGTTGCTGTTCAGGTTTACTGGGGCTCATTAGACGCACTGCTGTTGCTGTTTAGGTGTCCTGGGGCCCGTTAGACGCACTGCTGTTGCTGTTTAGGTGTCCTGGGGCCCGTTAGACGCACTGC